TGTAACTGTGTGTACTAATTCCCACACAATTTGACTTAGTTCTCTACTGTGCCTAAGCTGTCAGCCCTGATGACGGTTTAGGCCGGTGCTTCTCTCGCTCCAGCCTGCTTCCTATCACTTGCAGGTGTGGAGAGGGTTCAAAGGCTCAAGCAGGCTCCAGGTGCCGCTGCACCTGCTAACCCAGCAACACACCTTAAGTAATGTGATTCAGAATGACTCTAATTTCTATCACCCATGTTCCTAAAAAGAGTAAACTGAGAGCATAGGAGACATTTATGTTCTTTGCTCAATAATTTAAATAAGTTCTGAAAGTACCATTCTAATTTGTCATTAAAAAGAGAAATCCAGTGTTGAAAGAACTTTCATCTAGACTCCTTTAATGATTTAAATGAACTTATTTCTCATTAAATATTTTATTTTGGTAGCCAATATTTAAGGGTGCCATACTTTCTTAAATTAAAATTTTTAATTATCACAATTCTCTGAGCTATACCTATTATACACGATATACTTTATTATATAAACTCAGGGCCCAGTGCACGAATTTGTGCACCTTGAAAGGAATTGTAATCTGCAAGGCTGTGGAGAGCACAGGAGCAGGTCTCAGCCCATCCTCCAAGCCCTCGCTTGGCCCCTCCCGCCTGACCCCCAGTCCAGTCTGCCAGCAGCCCCGCTCCAGCCATCCGCTCCCACCACTGGCACTCCCAAACATGGAGCGATTCGGGCAGGTGCCAGCAGCAGTTGCAAGCAGTGGTTGCTGCCCCAATCGCCCCTCAGGAGCAGGGGGAGGTGGAGAAGCACTCAGATCAGGGCCAGTGCTTGCACCTGCTGACGGCAATGAGCGGTTGGGGCAGACACTGGGCGCTGGCAGCGGGTGCGAGCGGCGGCTTGGGTGTGGGCAGCGGGTGTGAGTGGGGCCATTGCTGACAGCAGTGCAAGAGGTGGCTGCAGGCCCCAACCATCCCTCAGGAGCAGAGGGAGGTGGAGAAGCCCTGAAGGGCAATCATGGCCGGCAACCGCCTCTTGCACCTGCTGACAGCACCGAGTGATCAGGGCCAGTATCAGGAGCCAGGAGCAGGTGCTAAGGGGGCTGGCGTGGGCACCAGGTGCAGTGCCAAGTGGGACTATGGCGTGTGGGAGTGAAGAATTTTCAGTAACCACCAGAGGCTCACCCCGATGGCAGTGACTGGTGCCATGCCTTGATCTGGCAACCCTGCTCACCCGTTCCACCATCCTGCTGTGGCCAACACTCGCCATGTTACGTACGAGTGCCCTCTCTCCCCTCCTCCCGTGTTCAGCACACATCCTTGCGACTGGTTGTTCCGCCATTCAGTCTATTTGTATATTTATATATATATAGATTACTGACATTCTTTCCTTATTCTATTTAGTACTGTGATATAAAAGTAGTTCCCTTACTCTGTTCCAGAAGATTTCAGAAGGAAATAGTGATTAAATTAAAACAATGGTCTTTTGCAAGATATTTATCAGCAAGTAGAGAGGGGAAAAGCCTGTTTTTCTGATTGCCTGTTGCTTGATAAAAATTCTATACCAATATTATCATTCCCAGCTTAGAGTGACAAATATAAAAATAAGAGAAAGAAGTCAAGTGTCCTATCCCAATTCTTACGGTGTCTTTCATTACTTTGTCTACACAGTGTGCCTGAAAACACCCGAGATGCCCAAGTGCCCCAAGGGTCTTGCACAGGGCTATTCGCTGTCACTGGTGTAACACAGTGAGTATTCATTCACTCACTGGATAACCGACGTATTGCAAGTTGACTGAAAAGTATTACATGTTTTGACCAATTTAAAATTGTCAGCAACTTGACTTAAACACTTGTTCTAATAGTTATCTAGTCTGTTTATGACTGAAATAACACATTTTTCAGAGATGAGACAACAAAACATGTTCGGGAAACATCATGTGGTAATGAACATGAGTTCTAGAATCAGACTGTCCTGTTCTGAATCGTAGCTCAGGCACTTGTTAGTTGTACGTCCTCGGTCAAATAACAGAACCTCTACATACACAGAGGAGTGCATGGCTCCAACTTGAGAGGGAGGCCATAAAAACAACAAGAAACTAGAGTAGGTATGTGTGAGGAGGACTATGATGACAATCTTTGTCAATGACTAGTATTATGTCTTGAAGAAAAACATTCCCTGGAAACAGGTCAAATTAGTGTACAACAGTAACAGCTCCTGTTCATTTTCCAGATACACGTTAGTAGCAAACAGACCAACAGTGCCCTGAAATGGAAACCTATCCACTATTCAAATTGGGGGAGAGACAAAGAGACTTACATTTGAAAACTGAAACAAAGAACCTCTGTAGCTAAATTCACCTTCCGCTCCCCAACTACAGTACTTTCCCTTCAGGATGTCCTTTCCATGCAAACACATTTCCCAAACAACCTCCTGGAAAGTCAGGAAAGGCTTGTCCCCAAAATATAGCGTAGCGAGGGGTCTGACCTGCAGGAAGGCACATGTAACCGTTTGTGTTTACTTTAAAAACAAAAACAAGACCCAGCTACATAGGCTTCTGGGTGCCTAGGCACTGCTCTAAGCACCTCAGAGCTGATTCCCTGCACCCCGGGCACCATGGGACAGGCACTGCGGTGCTCAGGACAGTGACTCTGCAGCACTCTCTGCTGTGCGTCCTGTAACTCTCCCTCAGGCAAGCAGAGGCGCAGGCACAGGGGCTTATTGCTCAGCATGCGCCTGGCCCCCAAAAGAGAACTGCAGTGTGGCAGGAAGGGGAGAGTGAGGCTCCAGCTCTGCTTTTCTACAGATTTCATCTGCAGAAAAGACTCTAATGCTAAAGCTGAAAACCCATGATTCTAATCCAATACTCATTTTAACCATGAGTAAATAGAATGCCAGGCAGACAAAGCAGCCTGCTGACCCCGCCACTGAGCAGCCCTGATTCCCACCAGCACGGCCCACCTACCACTCCAAAGCTATTATTAACTGCCACCATTGGTGGAATGGGGAATTTTTGTTTAGGTCCTTGTTTCTGTTCCACCATCTTCATATTTGCATTGAGATTAGAAAAACAGGAAAATTTTAATGTTTCCTTACATTTCAACTTCTCCCTTTTGCTATAGAGTAGCATGTTTAGGCTTCTTCTAGTGTGTGAGATAAGCACACCTCCTATTAAAGCACTGGCTGGAGTCCTCATGTCACAGAACACGCAGGACCAAAGATCCTTTGAACTCATACACATATGATTTGCAAAAACCTACCCTGTTTCCCCGAAAATAAGACAGTGTCTTATATTAATTTTTTTCTCCCAAAGTTGCACTAGATCTTATTTTCAGGGGATGTCTTATCTTTCCATGCGCTAGGTCTTATTTTCGGAGGATGTCTTATTTTCGGGGAAACACGGTAATAGTACATGTTAATTCCTTGTGCTTTAAGGGAAAAAGGAACTAGTATATCAAAGCCATGAGTTAACAAGCATAGCTTAGGATGAGGCAAATGAAATCTCTCCCACAAATACATTACAGGCCAAGACCTCAGATTCACGAATGCCTCTATCTGGAAATATGTAAGAATGGATAAAACAGAATATGTTTTACCATATGTACATTACATTCTCAAAGGCATTTATTTTAACCTAAGTAGCAAAATCTGTTTTATATGAACTGTTCTAGTTTTGCAAAGTGAATGTGTAACTTCTTTTATTCCTCAAAGTATTTAAGTTTTTAACATCACCTTCTATTATGCCAAGAAATGGTTTACCATTTGTGGTGATAATATGATGCTGATGGAGAAAGGACACCAGTTATCAGATCACTGGATATGGCAGAATAATGGGAAATACAATGAAATTTAGAACTTTATCAAACCTCAGCGACACAAGAGCATACTTACCTTCACATTTTAACTTCCCAGGTCATTTCATGAACTGAGTATCACAGACATTTATATTGCATACTCACATGTTCATTTAAATAGACAGGTTTGCCTTAATCACCAATAATTACCGAAAGGAATTTTTTCATGCAGACCTTCCACAATAAGCCCAGTGCATTCTTCAACCACTATGGCAGTGACCAAAGGCACAACTCCTTCAATAGGAATAATTTGGAAATAACTGCTATGAGAGGCTCCGGAGGTGCTAGGGTCAAGGAATCTATGATAAAGACTTAGACTATCAGCACTGATTTGTTAGAGTGGTTTCCATGATGCAGTAGCACCCGCTAGCGGATACTTGTGAAATCTATTGACTATAATATAATATAATATAATATAATATAATAGTATAATACAATATAATACAATATAATACAATACAATATACTATACTATACTATACTATACTATAATATAATATAGGTGGATAGTATTATTTAAGATAACAGTCTCTCAAATTTCTCCTTGGACATAATTATATTACACACAAAAAACAAATTGAGGGAGAAAAGTGGTTTCAGTAGTCTGGTACTTATAGAATTTATAACACATTTGTCACTAAAAATACATGACTATTTAATTCGCTTTCAACATGCATATCTTTCTCTAAATTAGATGCTCTTCATTCATCTGAAAATGTTATAAAGCAGTGCGTGTGCCAGGCAGTGTGCTAGCCAGGCCCTCAAGCATGAGCTATGTTTTGTCCAGCACCAGACCCAACACCCAACCTGCAGCCAAAAGTGCAGCCCTTCTAGAGTGCGGGAGAGGGTCACGACAACCTGCCATGAGTGATTCCTCTCCCACCAGTGCAGCTCCCATCAAGCTGGAGGGGAAATCAGAGCCAAGAGGCTTTTAAAGGCTGGAAGGACAGACCTAGGCACCCTTAGGCCAAGCCAAGGCCAAGGCCAAGGGCGTGGTCAGGATATGATCCACTCTATGATTCAGTGTGCAGTAAGGTTATGTGAGGCTGCCTGCTGTGGGCCAAGACAAGACCTCCTTACTACAGGAGACTGACCTCATGCTCCACATAACCAAAGGCCACAGCCTGCTACTTAAAAGCAAGTTTCAGAATTGCTTACTTGTGAGACGTCCTTTTCTTCATCATGCTTGCAGATACACCAGCATGGCCTAAAAGAGAAGTGAGCATCAGTCAATGAAAATCGGATAAAAAAAATAGTTCAAACACAAGAAAAAAAATAACTTTGAAAACTACGACATAAAGCATGAAATGAAAATAAACTGTAGATGGCCAATATATGAGAAAGCCATTCATTTACTGAACTTTCAAAAAGGAGATGCAAAGGATTGAGAAGATAAAATGATGAACCATTTATCTCCCCAAATTAGCCATAAAACACAAACCAAAATCATGTGGGCAAGAAAATATAATCAAATAAAAGTGACAATCCTAGCCATAAAGTACTAAAAGTTACAGAATTTGTCTTCTTGCCACATAACAACTAAAAATCAGGACAGAAGATATGAAACACCTGGACCCAGATAGTGAGAGAATATAGGACCAGAGAGCAGAAAGCCAGGCAGAGTCCCGCACCGAGCTGGGCTCCATTCCCAACAATTGTGGGTGATGCTACATGAAATCAAGAAAAGCATTGTGGTTTTCCTACCTTGAGAGTCAGGCTGGAGCTGGGGAAGGTGAGGTGGCTAGGAGTTATGGGCAGAGTGCTAGCAATGAGATCTCAGTGGGGGCTCCAAATATGGTGAGAGGGTAAGGGACTTAAGATACTAACCTGCACCCTGGGCAGTTTTGCCCAGTGTTAGAGTGTTGGCCTGTGGACCCAAAGGTCTCGGCTGCAGGCTCAGCCCTGATTGGAATGCCTGGTGGAGGCAACCAATAGATGTGTCTCTCATCGATGTCTCTCTCTTCCCCCTCCTCCCTTCCTCCTCTCTTAAAAAAAAAAAAAAAATCAATGGGAAAAATATCCTCGGGTGAGGATTAAGAAAAAGAAAGAAGATATTAACTTGCAGAGGCATGAAGGTTGTTGTTCAAAGTCCTAAGCCTGCATCTCTTAACACTTGAAGCAGTCAGTAAAAAACAAACAAAAAAAGGTGCCCCTTAATAGGAAGTCTGTAGAAGCCCTAAGAAAAAGAGCTGTTACAGATCCATCCTTCGAAAACAAACTCCAGTATTAACCAACAGACATCAACAAAAACTGAACACTTCACAACAAATTTCAAAGGTCTAATGCCCCAGGCAAAAACTACTAGACAGACAGAGTGGCGAACTAAACATTTAACAAGCAGGTTATGACTAAAATAGGGTAATTATCGGGTACAGAGGTGAAAATAACTATAACAAATATGCTCAAATATCTAAAAGACACAAACACTTGCTCTGGCTGGTGTGGGCCAGTTAACTGGATGTCATCCATGCACAGAAAGGATGTCGGTTGTTTCACAATCAGGGCACATGCCCGGGTTTGGGCTTGATCCCAGGCCTATTGATGTTTCTCTTTCACTTGATGTCTCTCTCTCCCCTTCCTCTCTCTCTAAAAATTAATAAAAAATATTTTTATTAGGTCTAGTAATAATTAATGTCGTTTTCTAATACTTTTTTAAATCGTATTTAAACAATACAACAAAATTTAATCAACAATATAGTTGCCGTTGTTTTCTACTACTTGTGTGCAATGCTCAGGAAGCATTTTAATCCCTCTGTTGTAAAATTCTTGTGATTTTGATGCAAAAAATTCGGTCAGTGCATTTTTGAGGCATTCTTCATTATTAAATTTTTTTCCAAGAAGAAAGTTTTGCAAAGAACGAAACAAATGGTAATAGGAAGGGGCAATATCAGGAGAATATGCAGGTTGAGGGAGAACTTCCCATTCCAACTGGCGCAGTTTTTCAGCAGTGATTCTTGCAGTATGCGGTCGTACGTTATCGTGGTGAAGAATTACGCCCTTCAGCGCGGGTTCTTTTTCTCTTAAAGCTTGGGCTAACCTTTCCAATTGGGCACTATACACTGCACTTGTAATGGTTTGGTTAGATGGTAAAAGTTCATAATGAAGAATTCCTTTAAAATTCTACCAAACACACAACATCACTTTTTTCGCATGCAAGTCAGGTTTTGGCATGGGCTGCGGAGCCTCAATTTTGTCCAACCATTGAGGCCGCCTTTTCAAATTAACATACAGCACCCATTCTTCATTTCCGGTAAAAATTAGCTCTAAAAACGGCAAACGGTTTTGACGAGAGAGGAGCGAACTGCAAATTGTGACTCTTTGACTACGGTTGTTGTCGGTCAACTCATGAGGAACCCATTTTCCAAACTTTTGGACTTTGCCAAATGCACGCAATTGATTGGAAATTGTTTTTTGTGAACAATTTAAAGTTGTTGCAAGCTCTTGTTGGGTAATTTGAGGATTTTGCACCAAAAGAGCTTGAAGAGCTTCTTGATCAAAATTGGACACACGGCCTTGACCACTCTTGTCATCTAACGAAAAATTTCCCTCGCGAAATTTCTCAAACCAACGCTGGCATTTTCTGGCGCTAACTGCATCTTGACCAAGAGCACTACAGATGTTTTTTGCAGCCTCACTTGCTTTTCTTCCTAATTGGAACTCGTAAAGCATGCAGTGCCGAATATGCTCTTCATCCGCCATCTTCTTAGCCCTAGTTTTGCAACAAAAACCAAACCAAACACAAACGTTTTCAAGCAAAACTTGTTAATTGCACTTCACACGTTCTGTAGATACCAAGTGTTTGAAGGTTATGTCAATACAAGTCAACGCCAAGCAAGATTTTAAACGAATGTTTAAAAACGACATTAATTATTACTAGACCCGATAATGAAAAAATACAAAACACAAACACAAAAAATAGAAAAATAGCAGGAAAAAATAAAACTAGGAAAAAAATACATGATCTGTAATTTTAAAAAATTATTGAATGGGATTAATAGATTAGACTCCAAAGATAAAAAGTACCCAAAATGGAACACCACCAAAATAAATAAATAAAAAAATAAAAAAAATCTGGGAAAATGAATAGCCTCAGTGATCTGTTGGACCATAACATAAATGAAACTGAACTTCACAAAAGAGAGGGCAGAGGGTTAAAGGAAAAAACAAATCTGAAACATATAACAGCAGGAGTTTTCCATATGTGGTAATTATACCAGTGCAACCATATAACTTACAAGATCAACATAACCAAAGTAAGGTAACAACAACAACAACAACAAAAAAAAAAAAGAAAAAAAAGAAAACCATGCCAAGGAATATCCTAATCAAATTTCTGAAAACCACCAACAAAGTATTTTTAAAACTGCCAAAGAATAATAGATATTAAAAATAAAGAAACAGAAAATACTAATTCCAAATTTGTTGTCAGAAACCAGGTAAGCCAGAAGACAGTGCACTAAATCTTTAAGGTGCTGCTGAAAAAAACAGCATCCTACTACTATGAACTCAGCATACCATATTCAGCAAATACCTTTCAACCCCCAGCATTGATAACACATTAAAGGGACATAAAGTAAATGTACTGATTATATTAAAAAGAGATAATTAATATAAGACAAATTAACTTCAGGTTATTTCAAAATGATAGAAAGAGTCAGCCCTGGGCAGTGGTTCAGTGGTTAGGGCAGTAGCCCACGAACAGAAGGGTCTGGCAGGTTCAATCCCCACCCTGGTCGAGGAGCATTCAGGAGGCAACAACCAATGTCTCTCACATTGATGTTTCTTTCCCTCTCTCCCTAGAAAGTCAATAGAAAAAATATCCTTGGGTGAGAATTAAGAACAACAAAAAATGATTAAAGGGTCAATTATTCAAGAAGCCATAACAATTTTTAATGTGTTTAGAACCTAATTACAAACTACTGAAATACGTAAGGTAAAAAATGACAAAATTTACAAAAAAAGTTGACATGTCATACTTAAACTCTTTTATCCCAGTAATTAATATAACAATGAGTAGAAAATCAGAAAGGATATAGAAGATGTGAACATCACAAGCATTCAACTTGAGTTAGTTGACATTTATAGGTACTAACCCAATAACGGCAAAATACTCACCCCCCCAAGCCCCCCATGGGACATTAACTAAAACACACCTAATGCTACTCATAATGTAAACTCTCAATACATACATTATACCAACTTGAAATCATATGAAGTTTGTTCTTGGACCACATCAGAATTACTAAACTAGAAATTTGGAAAGACCCCAGTGTTGAAAATCAATCTTCTAAAAATAATTCATGGCTCAATCACAAAATCACAATGAAAATTCAAATATTCTGAATTTAAAAAAAATGAAAACACAATCTATCCAATCTGTGTAATATAGCAAAAGCAGTACTTACTATATAAACCAAAAATTTACACTAAGTATCAACAATACAAATAAAACAAAGGACTTTTCACCATAAGCTCAGAACAGAGGTTCCCCTGGGTGGAGGAGGAAGGCTTCTCTCCTTGACTTAGATTAAGGTGACTATTTGTAAACAAAATTTTCTGTACTACTGTTATATTTACAATTTTAAAAAGTTAACTGAAAAAGGTTTGGTTTATGTAAGACTGTCTTAGTTCACAGATAAAGAGGGTGAGCCTTGACCCTGAGCTGAGAGAGCCATGCTCACCCACTTTCACTTTGCATATCTTCAGGGTGAAGACACAGAATGGATGGAGGGTAAATCTACCTGAAGCATCCCTGATCACCTCTGGGTGTCAGCAGGTAAGAATGAGAAGAAATGCAAAAGCAAGTTCTACTACCACTGCACCAGCATCAGGACCCCCTCCCTCTCTTCCCACGCTGAACATACAAGGAAAGGGCAGCTGACTTTAGCATTTGGTGTGCCTCCAATGTAATAGATACATCCCTGTTTCTGCATCCTACAAAGCTTAACCTGGCCTCACACATCCCCAAGAGGTTGACTTTCCCGTTTAGAAGAGTAGCATGGCAGAAACAATTCTACTGATCATTCAAGAAAAGGTAAGCATTCATAATTCATTCTTAATTCTTAGGTATGAATGGACAATGATCAACAGTCACGTAACCTCGGTGGCAGAACTGAGAAAGATGGAAACAGATATCACCACTGTTCACAAAATGGCCCAAGAACTACAAAGATTAATGGAAGAATTGGTATTCTCAAGGAACTGAAG